CCCCCCCCCCCCCCCCCCCCCCCCCCCGGAGGCTGGACTGAGGATCCAACCTCTCTCTCACCCAGCTGCTGGCCCTGCCCCCGGGGAGTCAGGTAGCTCTTCCCCTTGGTGTCCCCTCCTGCTGAGGCCCCTGGGAGGAGAGATGAGGTGACCGGCAGGGAGCAGGGGTGGGCTGGAGGGGCCCTTCCACCAGGGTCCCCGGGAGGAGCCCTCACCTCCCTGCTGAGCCCGGAACTGCTGAGTGGCACTGAGGCTGACTCAGGGGTGAGCTGGTTCCAGTCATGGGGTGTGGGGAGCTGATGCCCAGAGAGGGACCAGGGTTTTTTCTCCTTCTCTCTCCCAGAGTCCCAGGACCAGGCGCCTGGTGGGGGCTCTGGCACCTCTCTTCCCCTGGACACACTCTTAGATCCCAGGGTGGTAATGAGGTGACTACTCAGATGGGTTGGGGTCTAGCTAGGTGTGGTTCCCTTTTGCTCATTCCTGTCCCCATTTCCTCACGTAGACGCCTTGTATTTCTGCCGTCTAATGTCTATGGAGCTGAGATAAATGACAGGAACTTCTAAGCTTCCGATGGGATAAGACCACAGTGGGCCATGCCCAGGGCCATGCGTAACTGAGACTCCGTTCCTTTGGGACATGGGTCCTGCCTGCATAGGACTCTCTCCCCAGTCCCGGGAGCCACCACGGAGCCTGGTCGTCCAGCGGGGCCCTTGCTTCCGTGCCCGACGGGCGATGGCTCTGCCTCACCCCAGCTGAGGCTGTCAGGGCAGCGAGCCTGGCTGTGTGGCCCAACCTCCAATCACAGGGCACTGAGCTTCTACCCCGCACCCGCACCCCCCCATCTTCATTCCCCTTCTCCACAGAGCCCTTCTCACTTGCTCAGGTCCAGAAAGTGGGGCCTGGTTGCCGGGCCTGGCGGCTGGGCAGCCACTTGCCTGCAGGACCTGCCCGCACCTTGAGGATGGGGTGGCTGTGTCTCCGGACGGGGCAGGATCAGAGAGGTCGCAGCTCTAACGCCCTCACTGTACGGAGGGAAATGAGGCAGAGAGGCCCCTGGGATTGAGTCCCTCAGGGTGAGAAGTAGGACCTCCTGAGCCAGACCCGGTCCCTACACCCTCCATGGCCCAGAGCTTCTTTCTAAGAGAAGCCCAGGGAGGGCTTCCAGTTAGGGCGGCCTCGGCCTTGCCCAGGCCTGGCAGACGGACAGGGGACGAGGCAATGGCGGGAAGCAGCCTGGCTCCAGGCCCCCGAGGCTGGTGCCCAGGGAGCCGCTGCAGGCCGCGGGCGCTGCTGTGAGGCGCAGGCTGAGGCTGCTCCGAGGGCCGAGAGGCAGGCCTCGGGTCCAGCGGAGCAGCTGCTCCATCGCTCAGGCCTCTCTGTGTTTCGGCTCCTCCCCAGCGGCTCCCAGAGGCTGAAGGGTTTCTTGTCTCTGAAAAAACCTTGAGTTCTGGCTGTTTCTGCTCTTTATTTGTTAGGGGACCTTGGGCAACACAGAAACGAGTCTTAGACCCAGAGGTGGCGGGTGTCTCCATGGCTCCAGCCCTGAGGTCCGCGGTGTGAATGGTCAGGCCGCGCGGAGGGCGGTCCGGCTGTGGTGATAAAGGGGGTCCTGGCTGCCTCTCTGGGTGGGACCAAGGTTGGCTTCACCCTGGACACTGTCCCTGCCCCTGCCCATGA